TAATACTTTGGCCATCTCATGAGAAGAAAAGACTCCCTGGAAAAGACACTGATGTTGGGAAAGTGTGAAGGCAAGTGGAGAAGGGGACGACAGAGGATGAGATGGTTGAACAGTGTCACCAAAGCTACATGAATTTCACCAACTAGAAGCTGTGGAAGACAGGAGGGCCTGGCATGCTCTGGTCCATGGGATCACAAAGAGTCGGACACGACTTAATGACTAAACAACAACATAATTAAAACAATGGGGACCTAATCAGCTCAAAGTCTGATGAAACATACAACTAATACTGCCTCTTCTGGAATGAAATGAAACTATTTTCAAGGACTCTTGCAGCTTAAATAGGGAAAGTCAATACTGCATGATTGCATTTTATCTTCATGGTGAGTCTACAAATTATTTCATTACTGTACTTTACCTGCAGGGGTAAATATCTGCAGTGAGCTTGTTACTCTCCATTTTGTTCCATTTAAAGTAATCAAGGAAAATTGCCACAGGTATCTATGATTTGAACCAATCTCTGCTCTGAAATAAGCTCATTATTAATGCCATTCCAAAAGAGGAAAGCTAAGACAGAATGATCTTCTTAAGGCTTTTTGTTGGCAGCTCACTTTGTGACTGAAAACAGGACAATAATATAAAAGGAAAAACACCCATTCCTTATAAGCTAGAAGAAGGCTTCCAGATCCTTCAGGATGTTCACAGAAATGCAGATTTCAGTGCATGATATTTGGCCTCACAAGATGAAATGAATGAGCCCTGTTGTAGGAAACAGCCATGCTCTGGGATTCTGGTGTGACTACTTTCCCATTTGGCATATTCCAGGTTCAAAGATGGCGTAGCTCAGCACTGGAAATACCTGCTTCCAGATTGCTTGCATCTTTGCACTTTTCTAGAAGGAAAATCATCATATAGTTCCCTGTAAATTCAATCAATCCCACTAAAGATACTCTTCAAATGTGGACCTAGTATTTTGTTTTGTTCTTGTGGATTCTTTTTCTGTATCTGATGCTGTGAAGAGTAGCAGGTCAGGGCTTAGGCTTGCCAGGTCCCAGAGCTGAAGGATCAGGCAGCTACTCTCCTTCTATGGTTCTCCAGGTGGGGAGACAAAACTCTGGGAGGTGGGTGGGAATGGGTAGCAACACCAGAGGAAGTCTGATGTTTTTGTGTGGGGTGGTTTCCAAGGCCTGAGCAGAATCTCCAGCCATTCCTGTCTAGCCTCAGGACTCACTGGGATTGTTTGTATGTTTGTTGTGCTTTTGAACATAAGCACAACCAAAAAAACAAAAACAAAACAGCAGTGAAGGAAGCAGACTTGGGGGAAAGGCAGTGGGTGAATGCACATGGACCCACTGTGCCATCTGGATCAAGGCAGGGAATGGAATTCTGGCACCGTGACTCTTAAGCCTTCTTGTTCCACAAGTCCTGGCAGCAGTATTGTAGGGCATAAGGGAGGAAAAAACCATGGGCTGGATTTTTCATCAAGCCCAAGCAGCATTGTAGGACCTGGGGAAAAAACACTCCACCCCCATCACATGTGCTATAGCTAAGGCCACATGAAACATAAGCTGTAGCAGGTAGAAATGGGCATGAACAGCTATTCAGAACTTCCCAATCCAACCTCCTCTGGTGGGCACCCACTCAGAGGCAGTGGGGCAGGGCAGCTGGGGTGCTGCCTCTGAGTCGGCGCCTGCCAGAGGAGGCAGGGCTGGGAAGCACCAAAACCTGTTCAGATGGAAAATGAACCAGCACAAACCACTGAGCTGGCAGCTTGTGCCCATCTCTACTTGCAAGAATGCTGTAGCTGCTAGGAGCTTCCCCCCACCCCAGTTCCAGTTATCCAATGCGGTGTCTATTTAGTTGGATACCTCTTGGGGTCTTTTCAACAACTAGCAGGGATATGCAGAGCTTCCCTTTCCCCCTGCTCTGTGCCCATACATAAAAGATTGGATACGACCTTCTCTGTTGCCCTTCTGGCAACACTCGAACCTGACCATTGGCTGGGGCTGTGAAAGTATTTGCATGTTTCCAGTTCCTGCAAAAGAGGAAAGGAAAATGGCAAAGCCAAATCATAGAGTGAATGGTTCAGGCAGGCCAGCCGGGCACCATAGGTAGTATGCAGAGCCCTTGCTATGCCCTGGGTCTGAAATTACGCGGTGCTGCAGCCACAAGACTTTCAGCAGTGGCTTTGCAGCAAGGAAGGCAAAGGCGATTCAATACTAAAATAAAGTACCTGCTCTCCTTTACCTTCCATGGTTTCTCTTTCTCGCTTTTAATTGTAATGTGTGAATGCAGAAGATAAATGATCGCTCTGTGCTTTACATATCTGTCTGCAGAGCCAGAGGTTCTGTAGAGGAGCCACCTTGACAGCGGCTGGATTCCATAATCCATAGGGTTCCTTCCATCTCTGCAGTTCTAAGATGATGATGGTGGTGAATAAGGGATATATGTGGCTTCTCCTCTGCCCCACGTGGAACCGGTAACTCTTATCTCTGCCCTGTAGTCACCCCAGAAATGCAAAAATACCACTGATTCTGTTTGCATTTATGCTTTGGTCAGTGCACCAGTCCTCTCAGAAACATTTCTGCTTCCTCTGAGCCCTCACCTGCCCCACCTACATTTGGGGAAACAGGAGGAAACCCCCCCCCAATGCAATCATAAAGGCCCACCCTCTGGTCTCAGGCTTTGGCCTTGAAATGTCAGGGAATGGGATGAGCTGGGAACCCAAACATAGATTCGTTGTGATACTGGTCTGATCACATTCTTAATAGCTGGCGGGGGTTAGGAGAGGCCACGGATGGTGGAAAAAGGAAATTCTCCTGACTGTGTAATATCTGGGCAATGAAACATCAATCCAAAAAGGCTGTTGAATCAATGAAGAACATATCACCTGGCTCGCGCATTCTTCTGCCAGCCGAGCTTCAAAATCCAGTTGCTCAGCGAGAGCAGTGCCTGTTTAGCTCAGCAGCGGCCAAAGAAACACACACACACACCCACCCCCCACACAAACACGCCTCCTTTTCTCTTACCTGGCATAATGGTTTTCTTGCAATGGAAGCACTTGGAGGAATACTCATTAGAGTAACACTCTGTACACAGAAGGCGCTCATCCTTGGCTGCGAAAGGCTTCTCCACCAAAGACTGACTGCACTTAGCACACTTGAAGCACGCTTCGTGCCAGTGTTGGCCTTTATAAGCAAGATCCTGGGGACAGGAAAATAACACACACGAATAAGAAGCATTTGCTTCCTTGGGTAAAAGTCCACTTCAACAAAATCCAGTTGGCAGGCACTATGAGCCACTGGCTTTGGAAGAGCTACAGATAATAGATTTGAAGGGTGATCGGTGTTGGCTGAAATCTTATAAAGCAGTTACACAAATGGCCTAACTTTCAGAGATGAATTGCTGTAAGTGAAGATCTTATCTGGTACATGCAGGATCAGGCAAGTTAGTATAGAACAGATAATGTTTACAGAGATTTCTTAACTTATAACAATTCACTTGCAAAAGTCACACACTATTTGCATAATTGTGCAACAGGGTTTCAGCCACTGTGTATTTCCTCCCTCCCTAGACTATTCCCTTCTGAAGAAGGTTGTCCCTTTCTAGTCACAAAGGGATAGGCTGAGGCACACCACATCAGGCCCTCCAGATGTTGCTGGATTGTAGTGCCTCTCATCCTTCAATATTGGTTTTTCTAGTGGGGATTGATGGAAGTCAGTCTAGCAGTATCTGGAAAGCTGCAGGCTGCTTCCTCCTGGATTAATCTTGTATAGCTTTTTGGTTCTTCCTCACACAAAGCTAATCTTGCCACCACCGGAAGACATTAAGCAAAATTCTGTCCTGCAGCTATGGTATCAACACACCTAAATTCTATCTGTTCTCAGTTGTGATACCCACACAGTTCATTACACACTGAACACTGTTTATACTGAGACTGGCCATTATTCCTTCTAGTTCATTATGGTCATAGTTCATCCTGCTCTGCCATTAGGCAAAGCCAGGCAGCTGCCTCAGGCAGCAGATGCTGAGAAGCAGGAAGTGTTGTTGGAGGACAAAGCTGTATATGTTATGGAACCAGTCGTGGGCAACCATTAGGTAGCTGGCAATGGAGGATGCCCTCCCATCACCAGTGTTGAAATAAGACTCATCTGTCAGGCTGGTAGGTTTTGGTTCAAGGAATGGGGCAGGGTGTCATCATATGCTTCCCCTGGAACAAGCCAGCCCAGTCCAGAGTTTCAGACAGGATTGTAATCCTGCTGATTACAGGAATTGTATCTGTGGTTATTTACATGCGATACAAGCTCTCATTTTTTACTTTTAGGTCTTCAGCTTAGTTCCCCTCTTGATAGCTTAACTTTACCTCATTGCTTCCACTTCATAGTTTTAACATTCACTTTGAACAGATCTCTCTCTCTCTCTCTCTCTCTCTCTCTCTCTCTCTCTGTGTGTGTGTGTGTGTGTGTGTGAGAGAGAGAGAGAGAGAGAGGCAGACAGACAGACAGACAGACAGACAGACAGATGAAGGGAGACTCTGAGCGAACATACCCCTTGCCTAATTGTCATTAGCTACAGAAAGTACATCAGAAATGAAGGGCAAAACAGGTCTCCACTTTGTTTGCGTGCCCCATTATGGTGAGCATAGTTTTAATGATTTCTGAGAGAAAAAGATGAGCAGAAGCTAACCCAAAGAAGTCAAGCTTGTTTTATTTGTTTGCTCCCATTCCTAAAAATATATTTCAGTGATGAGTGAGGAAGCCTTAGGAGATAAACAACAAAATGAAGTTGTCATTTATTGCATAAAATATTTTAAGCTAAATACATCTTTTTAAAGATATCTTGCTTGTGGAGACAGTGTTATTACATAAAAGTGATAAATATAATTTATTTTCTAGTGAAATTTCTTTATTTTACCGTGAAAACCATCTGTAGCACAGACCACGAGAAGTCATTTTTCAATGGTTGCTTGTCAGATGTATTTATTTTAAAGGTTTTGCTTGATTTTATCAGTTGAATTAAACCCAAGAGAGAAACGGAAATTACCACTGTAATCTCTTTGGAATAAGTTCTTGAAAACAATGCAACACACTGCCTTTAAAAAAAGATATTAAAGGAGCTAAGATATTATATTAAGGTAAATGCAGCAATTTAACATCTTGTTGTGTATTATGCTGCTGAATTCAGTTGATGGGTGAAAGCCATCCAATCCATTCTGCAGAGAGTCTGCAAACCATTAAAAGCCTTCCTGTGTCTCCAGGTGACTAATGTCACAGATTACAGACTAATCCAGCATTTCTCAACTAGATGATCCACAGGGTCCCTTCAGCTCTGTAGTTCTAAGATGATGGTGGTGATGATGATGGTGATTATGAAACCCTTCAGATGCATTGAACTACTGTACTATTCCCACTATGCTCAGCCAAGTGACTGTGCTGGCTATGGAATGATGGGATGTATGGTCAACAAAACATCTGGAGGGCTCCATCAAAGCTTGAGAAAAGTTCATATTTTTTTGGAATATGAAAAGTGTCCATTTGACTGGGTTTTTTTTTTGGGGGGGGGAGGGTTGCTATTCCAGAAAAGTAACTTTCTCAAGGTCTGGGAAGGCTTTACTAGTCATTGGGTAGGGTTCTCTATTTTATTTCTTGTTTTTGATGTAAAAATCCAAACTTCATGTCAAGGCAGCACCCCTGGATCCATACAAAAACACTTTAGTTGATTCTTTCATTGGCTATCTCTGTTTTTGAGTGAATTTCCAGTGAAGAGCCTCAGGGTGTCAGCTGAGAGTCTCACAGAACTGCTGTGATTTCCATATCTGTAGGCACATAGATGAATCTGAAGGTAAGTGGTGCTATAGCAGAAGAAAGTCTAATATTATCTGTGTGATGGTATTAATGCTTCTGTGCCCATTTTCCCTCCCACCCCGACTGATTCCAGGACTCACTAGTTCAGTGTGAAGGTGTTTGTATGCCTGTTGTTCACATAATATTTGTTTAAAAAGTAGTGCAGGAAATTTGTATTCTCTCTCTCTGTCTCTCTTTCTCATACACATGTATTATTCTGATTTTTCATGTATTGGCTAGTATCCTGTTCTGTATTTATATGTTTATGGAGGTTCAACTACAGAAGAAACACATCTACCACCTCATCATATCTCTGAAGCAGTTTCCATAGTTGGAGTTTTGTACATGTAAATATTGAACAGGATACTTGCCATTATTATTTTGCAATTGTCACACAAAGGCCTATGCCTGTGACATCATATCCCATCCCACACCCCAGTTTCAGTTTTTGTTGTGGTATCTCAGGGAATGGGAGGCTGCTGACCTGGTAAAATGGGACTAAATATTAATAAGAAGACATCATTATTAGAGACGGGCACAATCTGGTTTGTCTCGGTTTGTCCCAATTCATCAAGGCAACATCACAGTTGCTACTGCTCCACTCCTCACCTCCTCTGGCTCAAACAGCTTGCTTGTGTTATTTTTTCCATCTCCTTGGCTAATCTCCCAGTCACAAGCAAGAGCACAGACTTTTCTGCCCTGCCCTTTTGTCTGAGTGGGAGATCAACCAAGAAGGCAGGCAGAGGAGCCTGAGATGTTGCTGGGACTGGAAGATCAGTTGAGGATGTGGAAAAAACAAGCAAGCTAGGCCTGGTGGGTGACTCTTTGAACCAGAGGAGGTGGGGGAAGGGAACAGTGGCACCTGTGCTGCTGCCTTTATGAATTAGACCAAACCAGTTCATGCCCGTTTCTAATCATTATGGGTTACTGGCAGACCGCACTGAGTCACCAGCATCAAAGATTACTCCGGGGGATTGCAAAGAGGTAGAGTACAATCTCTTATCATGGTGACCTCGTTTGCTTCCTTCACATGAGCCAAAGAGTGGTATAACCCTTTGCCCTTGAGCTACAGACTGTGAAATTATCTGGGGCTTACCTTGGAGTCGCATTCAATGGGCTTCTTGCATTCCTCACAGAAGTTAGCAAAGAGGCTGTCATAGCACTTAACACAGTAAGCATGTTCTTCTTTCGTGGCATATCGCTTTCCAAAAAGGGAGACCATGCAATGATAGCATTTAGACAGATCACTCGCCATGTTCAATGCTCCCTGATGTTTCTGGGGCAAATGGAAATGCATTTAAAGGGTCGTGATTAAAAAATGATAAAGCTGTTTTGCAATCTTCAAGATACTACATTTTGGGATCTCAGCATTCACAATGATTCAACCTCCCCCCTCCTATACTTATACTTAAAAGATAATTGCAAGTAGCTTCTTGAAAGCTTACAGGAAAGGACAACAGACACAGCATGTGGCATGATTTCTTAACAGGTAAATGATTGACTTAAAGCTACCAAAAGGTGCACCAATGGCAGTTGTATTGCAAAACATTTGTATTGGAAACTTGCGCTAGAAAGCAACTAGAAGAACACTGAGGATCCTGCAGCTGATTTTGGCAATGTCTGTCTGTCTTTGACTTGATAGGTGTGGGGTTTTTTCTCTGTGAAAATTCTTGTAAATGGCCCAGTCTTTTAAGATTTCTTCTTCTACAGAGTTAATAACAGTGCAATAGACCTGGGATCAGAAATGGGGAGCTTATGGGTCACATATGGCTTCTTAATGGACACTGCTAGCCTACTTCTCTTCCCAGTAACCACCCTAGAGGGGCAGAAAAAGGAACAAAGTCTTGTCCTCTGGGAATGAACTTGCCGGCACATAGATATTAGGAGATGCCAAATGAAGTACTCGTTTGGTAAATCTTGCCCACTTTTCAAAAGTGTCTCTCCAACAGGACTGGCTCAACCCTTAGGCCATGACTTGGGTGGCACATGCTGAGAAATGTCAGTAAGGTGCCAGAGGATATTGCTGTATGAAAGTTAGCCGGCTGCCTCCAGTTGCAGTGGAGGACACTGTCTCTCGGCAGCAAAATTTGAATGGTTCAGTCATCTTTCTTCTATTTGCTGGGAGCTTTGTTATCTTGTTCTTTGCCTCAGGCAGTCATGTGCCTTGAGATGGTCTTTTATCTTCAAGAAGACTAGTTGCGACTAGGACTGTAAATAGTTGCATACCCTACTGGTTCCTTCCTATGTATTTCTGACTGGTAGAAAGGTGGGAAAGCACATTTGGATCAACATCCAAATTTCAAGCAGATCTGAGACTTGTAGGCAAGCTATTTTGGTCTTGGGTTTTTATTTCCCTCCACTGGACCAGAAGGACTTTGCTAAAATTAGGATATAATTGCTGAGAATAAAGGAAAATAAAATTTATAGAGTTCCCAGTGAAGTTGTTAAACATCTGTTGTATTCACTGAAGTTTCTCTCTTGTAATGTTGTCATGAATCTAATGCCAACATCAAAATTATCAAGAAAAACAGTACTTCTTTAAACATGATAATTTTACATGTAGGAACAAAACTCAAAGAATGACAAGGGATGCTAAAAATGACTCATGCAGATTTATTCTGTTATTCACACACACACCGTTTCTGCACAAATCTCCACATGATAATTCATATGCAGTCTACCCATACTGTGATGTTTTCTGTCACTGGAACATATGTGCTTGTCATACATTGAGCCAAGATATTGCTCCTTCACAACAAGATCACAAACGTTGACTGGCAGAAATTTTCCCTGAGACCTTTAAGTGGCGATTCTAGGGAACTGAACTTTGGACTTGTACATATGACTCATGTGCTCTAGCACTGAGCTATGAACCCTCCACAAAGGTGTGGCTTATCTTTCTCCAGGGAAATGGGCTTGCTTGGGAATTCAGTCCCGCTTCTCTCTCACCCAAAGCAAGAAACATACTTCATGTTTAGCAAGCCTAGCCTTTGGTTTAAATGTCTATCAGGTTCTTCACAGTTTAGAAACAAACTTGCACCAGTGGGTAATAATCCTCTTATATTAACTAGTCCAATGGGACATCTTTATACAACCCCACACACACACTTGGAAGGATCACATTTGTCCCTAAATATCCATAAATAAAAGAGTGAGGTAGTGCCCACCTCTTTAAAACAGTTATGTTTCAGATCCTGAAAAGCTAGACAAGAAAATGGATTTGTCAGAGTATTTCAGAGCTTGAGGATGGAGGGTAGGCACAGGAGGAGATACTTTTTGACTAGAATGGTCACGGCACCATGAGACCTGTAGTTCAATCCCCTTGCCCCCAGGACTGGGATGTTATAGCTGGATCTAAGTGTCTGAGTGTTTGGAACACGCCCATTCATATACTGTATCTCACAAGTTTACACTAAACCAGGCCCTTATTCTCAGCTGTTGAGTTCTAACTCCTGTCCTCTGAAGATGCTGGCCACAGAGACTGGGAAAATGTTAGGAAGAAAAACCTTCAGAACACGACCAAAAAACCTACAAAAACCTTCTTACATTTAATGGCTGGAATCATGTTATGGTGTTACTCAAACAGTGGAACTTTTAGATGTGAATTGCTGTGAGTTAAAAAACTTCTGTAGAATAGTCCCTTGCACACTGAGTTGATGTGACTCAGTATACAACAGATAATGCTACTGAGATCTCTTAACCTGAGGCAATTTGCATTTAAAAGTTATGCTGCTTGTGTAACTGCACAACAGGATATCAGCCAATAATGCATGCCTTTTAATGGGGAAAACTAGAGAGAAAAGATCTCCTGAGGTTTCCTAGACTATCCTTGACTGGTTCTAAACAGTGCCAACTGTCCTTCAACATTAGATTGTTATTCATAGAGTTGTTGGTGTCACTTCTTTCCTGTCACACTTCTCTCTTGTCCCTCCAAGGAGGAGACATTTTCCATTTATTCTCCAGAGGTAAAACTGGCAGTCATGGCTCCTGACAACCCCAACTTAGTTAGCTAGAATGAGAACTTCTGTTACATTTCCTACCACCAGTATATATTTCTAACATAAAGGAAAGTGTGTGAAGGTGTTTCCTTTACTAAAGGGGAAATGCATTTACTTAATCATTTCAAGTCTCAAAAAGCTGAATCCACGAGTTAATTTGCTCTTGTACAGCTGTTTACCTGCTAACATTTGGTACCCTTCCTAAACTTTGGTTTAGAAAGGGTACCAAATAGTATTTTAGATGGCCATAGCATTTTAGATGAGTTCTGATTAGATATGGGATGTTTGTATTCTCCTAGGGGAGAATAATATGAATGTCACCACCCTAGGTGGCCAGGCTCTTTCAACCCTCCCCCCCCCCCAAGAATTGGCCGGTCCACTCACTGGACTTCACCTGGCATATGCACCTGTCGTTGGTAACATCATGCCAATCACAGAATTTGCCTGGCCTGTGCTTCCCCGCCTCCCCAAATGGGGATATTTCTCATCCCACCTCCTCGCCGGAGTGGTGAGCAGTGCAGGGAGGCAGGAAAGCTTTGGATTTCCACAGTTGATGCAATGATGATGGCTGCAGAAGCCACATGAAGTTCAGTGGATCAGGCTGGTTCTGGGGGGAGGGAATGGGCCTCTGTGGCACCTGTGGGGCAGTGCTTCACTGTCGGATCCCCTGGGATATGAATATGAAGCTTCCATGTCCAGTTCTGATCAAGGCAGAAGAAAGTGGGGTTAATCTTTCTTTTGATCTAGGTACTGCACTTCTATTGATATAGACAAAAAGTGCAACAGCCTCCCCCTCCCCTCAAACCATGTCATGCTGTTGACTCATGTTTAGGCTGTGGTTTACTAAGACCCTTAGATTATTTTCTCACATAGAGAGAATTCCACACAAATTGTGCCAAGCCAGATGTCCTCCAGACGAGAGATGGGCACGAACTGCCGGTCCCAATCAAAGCAATAGGAAGAGCTCATTCTATCTTTAGATGTCATTAACAGTTAAAGGGACAAGTCAATAGGCTGTGAGTCATGTTAAATGACTCACTGTTTTGTAGGAGAAAAAGAAAACACTACAGCCTTGGGTACCACTGTGACATCTGCTGATGTTTTAGGTGGAATCAGTAATAAGCTGGTGTCATGACTCACAAGGCTGTACATGGGCACAAAATCCATGTTGGTTTTGGATGGATATAGACAACCAGTTTACAAAGTGGTTACTGAGAAGAAGCTTTGCTATACAATAGAGTCCTCAGCCTTAAATATGTTAAAATCCATGGAAGAAGAAGAAGAAGAAGAAGAAGAAGAAGAAGAAGAAGGTGATGATGATCTTGCCATTCATTCATTACTTGACATCTAAGTGAAGTAATAGTGAAAACCTTGACTGTGTTACTGTCCTGTTTCTGAAGGCCGTAAGTATGTATGTCAAGTGTGGGAAAATTATGATCCTCTGGAAGTTGTTGCTTTGAAAGTCAAAAGCAAGGACGATGGGAGAACTACAGTGAAACAACCTATGCAAGGCCACTGGTTGCTTCTTTCCCTGCGCTAAGTGTATAAATGTAAGAAGGGTGTTAATTTGGCACTAACTCACATATACATTGACCGCCTCTTATATTTCAAGACTTGTTTACATAACATTTTATGGTCCATGTTTGAGCCTGTGAATCATCCCAATTGAAAGAAAATATCGGTGCAGTTCATATCCTTGGTGACCTAGATGGCCAAAGGCAAGATAACTCAGTTTCAAGAAACAGAATGGGGACTGTTGTGGACATACTTCAGTGAAATGAACCAAAAGAGTCATTGCGGAATTAAAACGGAAGTGACTTACATTTAAATCATGACTTATCCACGAAACTCTCTGGGTGATCTTCAGTCTATCACCACATCTTAACCTAACTTACTTTACAGGGTTCTTGTGAGGATGAGGAAAAGAACTGAATATCCTGAGCTCCATGTACCAAAGGTGAGATATAATTGATAAACTGCGTCGTCTCTCTGGTGTAAGGCTGTTCGCACAGTAATAGAATACCAGCATGAAAATGCTAGTTTTTGATGGTGGTGGTAAGGGATGAAATATACAAACATGTCTGTCTGTCTTTCAATTTTGGTGCTCATTGCTAATTGTTGATCTGCTTTGGATGTCATCTGGTTTCATGAAATGGCAAAGATTATTATTGAAACATCTGCATGCAGATGTGACAATATATAACTAATGCAGAATCCCCTGCTAAAGCGAGTATATGGCTGTGAAGTCCTTAAGTTTTAATTTTGTTCCCAGAGGGTT